ATAAGTCCTGAAGGTTTCATTAAAATCTGACAATTATTGATTTTTGCAAGATTTTCCGAATCAGTGTGTTTTTCAATGCAAAATGATGAATTGGTTACCCGCTGTCGTAAGAAAAACATATTTGTTACCAAATCTCGAAGTTTCTAAAAAGGATAAAAATATCATTTAATAATAAAAAAAAATAGTTTTGTCTCTCCTCTTAATTATAACATAAATATTTTGGTGATAAAACTTTGTTTTTATTAGGTTTTGGGTCATTTTTTCCTCATGTATGCTCATTTTTTCATCGAATTTTTGAAGGTATCTTCTATGGAGCCAGTTGGAAATATGCAACTATCTCAGCTACTCTTTAAATTGTTGGCCTTTCTTTTATTTGCAGATTGGTTGGACCAGTGTTTTGACGGCGGCCGACGGAAACCGGATATTAGCGACAATATGGCGCCATCTTGTGGTACCGACAGTGAAACAAAAGGTAAGAGAAGCAACTGTATTTATCCTTATCAAGGGGAAAAACGAAATCATTGCTTTAAGAAGGGGTAAAATTTCCAATGCGAAACTGCTCCTAGTTTAAAAATAAACCGATGGGAACTTTTGCAGACAACCAATATTAGCGCATTACTTGCCCTGCACATTATATGCACAGGACATGTGATTTCCACGTCTGTTCACACGCGCCATGATTTTAAAAGAGTGGTTAAACTAAGGACGCTTAAGAAAAGTGTCTACGATTGAGCAGGACGTCTGAAAAAAAAACTAATCTAATATTTTGTGCATCATTATTGACCATAGGATGCTTGACTGATAATTTAAGGTCTCTTGTGATGCACAAAGCGTAGTGTAACTTATGATTGGTACGTTCTGTGCATCACGAGATGCACAGGATTTTATTATGTCAAATACTATTAGGTTGGTGCCAAAATAATGACGTAATAATGTCGTTTTTTGACGTTAAAAATACGTCAAAAACGACATTATTACGTCATTATTTTTGCACCAACCTAATATATATCAGGACATTATATTTGCCAAATAAGCTGAGTTACCTTGCAATACTTATAAATCTGAAAACAAGCATGAACGTTTAGATAGTACACACAAAAATTCCCTGGATAGGTAAATGGTTAAGAATAAATAACTGATTGCATCATTCTAACACGATTTAACAGAAGAAACTAAAAAAGAATTAAGTACGCAACATATTTTTCCAGTGGCAATATTTGACGTCAGGTATAACGATTCGGTGGTTACGTTTTGCACTGATCACGCAATCACGAGAAATAAAAATTGTATCGTGATCTCACTAAAAAAAGCAAAATCTTATTTGCCATGATTCCCAAGTAAAAGAATGAATTCGACCTACTGGCGGGAAATTAAGAATCTGACCTCTTTTCGACATCCTTGAGAGCACGTAAAAAGGATCTCTCTGGGAATGAAGACTAAAGATAAGTTCTATTCAAATATTAATGTCTATTAATGTTGAATATGACGCTGAAGAAATGAGTCCACGATTGAGCAGGACGTCTAAAGAAAGACCTAATCTAATATTTTGTGCATCATTATTGACCACAGGACGCTTGACTGGTAATGTAAAGTCTCAAATGAAAGACATACGTTTTTCCACTTTATTGAAATGATTATAACATTTAGATCACATGGGATGTAAATAAATTAGCGTAGATAAATTATGATGTTTTACGTTCTGTGCGGCTCGGATTGAGGAATCGGAGAGCCGAGTTCGAATTCAAGTTGAATCCATTACATTCACTTACGTGCTAATACCCTCGGGAAAAGTATGAATCCTCTTCTTCTCCCCCCAGCTATGGGTAAATAGCAGGATAGACCTGGTTCTGTAGCCTTGGATGTCAACTGGTCTACCGCAGAAAGAAATGAAAACCTGCTGCGGGAAAAATCTGCCTCGTCAGTCATGCATCAAAAGATGCATGATCGCATACACGGGTATCATGCATAGCGTATAACTGACTGACGTTTTGTGCATCACATGTGATGCAAAGGTTTTTATTATGTGAAACATTATATATCAGCATATTCTATTTGCCAAATAAGCTGAGTTGCCTTGCAATACTTATAAATCAGAAAAAAAATGAACGTTTGGTTCGTACATATTGGTTGGACCAGTGTTTTGACGGCGGCCGACGGAAACCAGATATTAGCGACAATATGGCGCCATCTTGTGTTAAGAGTATTTAAGAACCTTCCTGTGATGTTTAGTTTATCAAACTGGCATGCCATGAGCGTTAATTTAAAACATTGAAATTTCTGGCAACAGCGAACGTCAGTGTGTGATCGCTTTTTTTTTTTTACAGTAACCATCACCCTATACAAGTCCTTGAGGCCACTTATAGTAGAGAGTTATGTTAAGGGGTAGTTTATATGGAAAGAAGGGGAAATATGAATTAGGATAAAAATATATATAAAACCCGAAGATCGGATCTCCAGGATTAAACTCCGTAGGTCCGTCATGGAGTGGCCTTAAAGAATGTGGCTCACTTTCGAGAGCTCGGACTAAATCAGGGTTCATTTTTATTATAATATAAATTATATTTGAACAATACTGATCCTCGAACTAATGCTGTCTGAAATAATTTTTCGTATTTTTCGTATTTTGTTCAGGAGAACATATTCAAAGATGCAGAACAGCATCAAAACCTCATTCGACTCCATTGACGCTGAAATGGTAAGTACATTATATATTCTAAAATGTCTTCCTTTATTTCTTCAACTTTTTGTCGTTTTCTTTCAAAATATATTCTTTCTTTCACCTTTTTGTCTCTTTCTTCTTTCAAATCCTTTTTCTTTCCTTCTTCAATATTTTATCTTTTATTTCTTCTTTCAAAATATATTCTTTCTTTCGCCTTTTTGTCTTTTTCTTTCTTCTTTCATATCCTTTTTCTTTCCTTCTTCAACATTTTGTATTTTATTTCTTCGTTCATAATATATTTTTTCTTTCAACCTTTTATCTTTTTTCTTTCTTCGTTCATAATATATTCTTTCATTCTTCAATTTTTGACGTTTTTCTTCTTTTATATCTTTTTCCTTTTTTTTTCTAATAATTTCTTTCTTTTTTGAATTTTGGATTTTTCTTTCTTTGTATCGTAACTTTTTTCTTTCTGTCTTTCTTTTTTCTTCCTTTCTTTCTCCTGCAATGATTACTTGTATGTTTCTCTTTTTTTTCTTCTTTTTTCTCCTGCAATGATTACTTCTTTCTTTTTTCTTCCTTTCTTTCCCTGCAATGATTACTTGTATGTTTCTCTTTTTTTTTTTTTTTTTTCCTTTCTTTCTCCTGCAATGATTACTTGTATGTTTCTCTTTTTTTTTCTTCCTTTCTTTCTCCTGCAATGATTACTTGTATGTTTCTCTTTCTTTTTTTTCTTTCTCCTTTTACTTTTCTCTTTCTTTTCTTCCTTTCTTTCTCCTGCAATGATTACTTGATTTTCTTGTTTTTCTTCCTTTCTTTCTCCTGCAATGATTACTTGTATGTTTCTCTTTCTTTTTTCTTCCTTTCTTTCTCCTGCAATGATTACTTGTATGTTTCTCTTTCTTTTTTCTTCCTTTCTTTCTCCTGCAATGATTACTTGTATGTTTCTCTTTCTTTTTTCTTCCTTTTTTCTCTCCTGCTGATTACTTGTATGTTTCTCTTTCTTTTTTTCTTCCTTTCTTTCTCCTGCAATGATTACTTGTATGTTTTTTTCTCTTTCTTTTTACTTCCTTTTTTTTTTTCTCCTTTCAAATGATTACTTGTATGTTTCTCTTTCTTTTTTTCTTCCTTTCTTTCTCCTGCAATGATTACTTGTATGTTTCTCTCTTTTTTTTTTCCTTTCTTTCTCCTGCAATGATTACTTGTATGTTTCTCTATATTTGTTTTGTCGCTGTTTAACAAAAGCAGTATTTCTCTCAATTGTGGACATTGTCACCAGAAAATCTATATCACATTTCTGATACTTTGTCATTCATGTACTCATAAAATATGGCGTCCCATAATGGCTTACGGACTCAGCTTGCTATGAAATCGTAACTTTACTTGTTCAGAGTATATAAATTATAATATTCTACTTCGTTCGGATCTATCTATCTATCTATCTATCTATCTATCTATCTATCTATCTATCTATCTATCTATTTCAGCTCATGTCGCTATCTATCTATCTATCTATCTATCTATCTATTTCAGCTCATGTCGCTATCTATCTATCTATCTATCTATCTATTTCAGCTCATGTCGCTATCTATCTATCTATCTATCTATCTATCTATTTCAGCTCATGTCGCTATCTATCTATCTATCTATCTATCTATTTCAGCTCATGTCGCTATCTATCTATCTATCTATCTATTTCAGTTCATGTCACTATCTATCTATCTATCTATCTATCTATTTCAGCTCATGTCGCTATCTATCTATCTATCTATCTATCTATCTATCTATTTCAGCTCATGTCGCTATCTATCTATCTATCTATCTATCTATCTATCTATCTATCTATCTGTACAGTATACAATCACCTGCAGCATTTAATATCAATCATATTCTCTTGAATATGTTCGAAAAAACTGGTCTTCGTTAAGAAACAAGAAAAGAGGAAGCTGTGTTGTACTTGTTCATCTTTTTATAATTTTTTTTAAAGAACAACTTTAAATTCAATTTTATCTTTAGTAAAATTACCAGAAGAATAAAAAATGACGAGATTTATCTGACCTCTAAAAATAAACCACATAAAACAGGTACTGTAAATTTGGATGTGCGGCTGGTGTAATAGATAACGGCTCGCAAGTGGAATTCGGAGAGTCGAGTTCTAATTCCAGTCGGCTTCGTTATATCCACTTACGCGCAAAAACCGAGCCATTATCCATTACACCACCCGCACATCAAAGTTTAAAGCATCTCGCATTCCCAAACTGTCACCCATCTAGATAATAACCAGGCTCGACATTGCTTAACTTCTGTAATCGTACGGGAGCCGGCGTTTCAACGTAACGTGATC